CGGAGCCCGTGTGACCAGGGACCTTAGAGGTCGGGGAAGGCGGCCGGAGCAGTTCTTCCTTTACACGATTCGCCGCAAGTTCCCCGTGATCGGCGCCGGTTTTCGAGTTCGAGCCCTACCAAGCGATCCGCCGCGAGTTCGAGGTGAAGCTGGGCCTTTGGACTTAAGCTGAGGGAAGCCCGGCTGAGTTGGAGCCGGCTATGGCCGGAGCTCAGCCACCTGGTGATGGAGGATGGACGTACCGCGATAAAGAGCCTCCTCCAGGATATGACGGGACCAATCCCCAAAGCAAGTTCAAAGCCTATCTTCGTGACTTAGAATTATGGCAAGCTTGCACAGACGTGCCGGAGGACAAACAGGGGCTTAAGCTTGTCCAAGTCCTCTCGGGGGCAGCCAAAGCTGCCGTAGATACCCTCACCGTGAAGGAGATCAAGGGGGTCGACGGCTTCGCCAATGTCCTGAAGAAGTTGAAGGAGGCGTTCGAGCCGTATGTGGAGACGGCTCTTCCCCGAGCCATGGAAGGGGCTTTCTATGGCCAGCCGCGGGGCCACAAGGAAAGCATGAGCGAGTTCCTCATTCGTTTCCAGAGGGCGCAGGCGGTGCTCAAGGACGAGGGGGTCACGCTGCCTGTGAAAGCTTCGGGCTACTTGCTGTTCCGCCAGGCCAACCTGGATAACGAGCTTGAGGCTCGTATGGTTACCTGGCTGGGCGGCGACTACTCCCTGGACACCGTGATCACCAACCTCAGGAGACTGGAGAGGGTCCACGCCGAAGGGGGCAAAAGGACCTTTCTGGTGGAAGAAGAGGAGCCCGGGGACATGAGCTACGACCCTGTCGGAGTCGGCGCGGAGGTTTTCCTCGGCGAGCCGGCGGGCGAGGACGAAAGCGAAGATGAAAACTGGGTCTTCATGGAAGACGGCCACCTAGACCAGGTGCTAGAGGAGGACGAGGTCCTGGACGCCCTTGCGAGTTACCAGCAGGTGAGGCGCCAGATCAAGGAGCAAAAGCTGGGCAGGCAGTTTTTCAAGCCAGGCGACCGTGGACCCGGAAAGGGGAAAGGAGCCGGTGGAGGCAGAGACCGTTCCCGCAACTTTGGCCGTGCCAAGGGTGAAGGCAAAGACGGGAAGGGCGAAAGCAGACGCATCCACATAGAGCAGCTCAAGCTAAGGACCCGCTGCAGAAATTGCGGGCAGGTGGGGCGCTGGAGCCGCGAATGCAAAGCCCCACCGAGCTTGGCTTCCTCTACGTCCCGGCCTCCGTCCTCGGTGGCTACCGGCTCGGCGGCCACGGGGTCCCAACGGTCGAGCTTTTATTGGACGGTTCCCCCGGAAAGCCCGGGGAACTCCTCCTTCTTTACCTTTCTCGACGCTCTCAAGGAGGCGAGCAAAAGGACCGAAGCCGCAGCCGAGGTGCCCAGCAGTTTTGTAGTGACAGCAGACCACCAAGGCCTCGTTGACACAGCCGCCCAAGAAGGCCTCATAGGACGCAGTGCTCTTCTAAGACTCCTTTCGGTACTTCGCAAGCACAACCTGCGAGCCCATTGGACCGACAAAGAAGCTAGCGCCCGCGGAATCGGAGGAAGCGCTCGTACTGTGGGTGTTTGTGAGCTACCGGTTGGTGTTGCGGGGGTGCCGGGTGTTCTAGAAACCACGGTGGTCACAGATGATGTTCCTCTTCTACTACCCGTTTCTTTGTTGAAGGCCCTGGGTGCCATTGTGAACATGCCCGAGGCTAAGCTACAGCTCACGGCGGTTAACGCAGAATGCCTTATGGTTTCTATGGCTTCGGGGCACCTGGCTGTTTCTGTTGTTGACTTCGGGCCGCAGGGATGGAGCCTCCCTTCCGGATGCCAGGGCATAAGGCAAGAGCGAGATTTTCGATTGAGCGGTGAAAGTGGACCTCAGCAGCAATTCGGCTTTCATTCGATGTGTGCGCCCCCGGCTTCCTGCTTCCTCGCTGAGCATGCTGGCCTCTCGTGCGCTTCAAGCCGAGGCTCGCCCACCGCAAGAGCCCCGAAGGCGAGTGCACGATCGCGCCCGGCTGGCTTTAAGAAACTGGCGGGTCATCTTGGACAAGTTGTGCTCAGTTATGCTTTGGGGACGGTGGCATACGGCGGTGTCGGATTGGATGCCGGCCCCTTTGCCGGCGGCTTCGAGCCGAGCTTCGGGGACTTCCTCCGAGGCCGTGGCCTTGGCTCCGACCAGCAAGAGCAAGCTTTACCGCGACTACCTCAACGGGGGCCCCAAGAAGCTGACGAAGATCAAGGGCATCCCGGCGG